GGATTTCGAAGGCAAACCGTTTCGCTCGGTCCATCGAAGATAGTCCTACGTGGCTGCGAATTGAGGAACACTAAATCGGCTATCGGCGTAGCGGTTTATACCGGCAAAGAAACCAAAGCAATGCTCAACAACTCGGGTGCCCGTCGAAGAGGAGCCGCCTCGAAACTCGTATGAATCGAGAAATAATTTACCTCTCGATTTTTTTGGTCACCCTTTGCACCGTAGTTTGTATAAGTCACGGTGTTTGGTTGATAAAGCACAAAGATGAGTTGGATTTGATACAGTTTTATCGAAAAAAGGATTATTCGGGAAGTGAAGTGGAGAATTACGAGTACTACGGTTGGGGAATGGAGATATTCTTTGTGTTTCTTATGTCGGTTATTGTGTTCCAAGTTATGATTCCGATATCTTTGTATATATCGATGGAGCTCGTTCGTGTGGGCCAGGCTTATTTTATGATCCAAGATGATCGGATGTTTGACGAGGCTACTAACTCGAGGTTTCAGTGTAGGGCGTTGAATATAAACGAGGATTTAGGACAGATTAAATATGTGTTTTCGGATAAAACGGGGACTTTGACTGAGAATAAGATGGAGTTTCAGTGTGCAAGCATCGGTGGAGTGGATTACGATAATGGGAAGGCTAGTAGTGAAGATGGTGGAATCGAGTACTCGTCGGCGCAAGGTATTTATTATTTTTTAATTAAATTGTTTTTTTTTTTTTTTCATGCATTTTTTCTCAATCTAGATGTTTTTAAATGTATGAGGGCTCATTTGGTTGGTAAGATTCGAAATCTGTTAAAAAAAACCGAAGAAGTAGGAAATTGGAATTTCGAAAATTGGAATATCTTATTCCAAAATCGGAAATTTTCGGAATTCGAAATTTTCCATTTTCTAGTCACCTAAAATATAAAATACATAATTACTTTTATATTATAAATGTAATATTCGAAAAAATTGGAATTTTCAGAAATTTAAATCCGATCTGAAATCAGAATCTCGTATATATTCCAATTCCGATCCAAAGAAAATAAATCGAAAAATCAGAATGAAAATATTGTTCCGAAATCGGAAAATTTCCAATTTCCAATTTATCTCACTTGGTATTTTTCTTATACGAATTATTTTGTTGGCAGTTGATGGGGTTACTTTGAGGCCGAAAATGAGTGTAAAAGTCGATATTGAGCTTCTCAATTTGTCGAAAACAAAAGACACGGATGAAGGCAAACACATTCGCGATTTTTTCTTGGCATTAGCTACTTGCAATACGATTGTGCCGCTAACAATCGAGAGTTCCGATCCAGCTGTCAAATTGATAGAGTATCAAGGGGAATCTCCCGATGAACAGGCATTGGTATATGCTGCTGCTTCGTACGGTTTTATGCTTATCGAACGAACTTCGGGTCACATTGTTGTTGATATTCAAGGCGAAAGGCAAAGGTAGTTTTCGAACTTGCTCTCGTAATTCGTTCTAAATTTTTTTATTGGTCAAAATAGTTTATTCAGGATAATAATAATAATAACCTCTTAGCATAAATCTTATGATTTTCTATTTTTCATTTCCTTTTATTATTATAATTTCGAATCATCGCCTATTTTGATCCAAAAGTTTTCCGATTTTGGAACATTTTTTCTCATTCTGATTTTCGATTTTTTTTTTATCGAAATTAGAATAATTATGAGATTTATGATTTCTGATTCGATTTTAATTTCCGAAATTCATTTTTTTTTCCCAAAAATTACACGTATAATATCTTTATTACTCTATGTATATTATGTTTTAGCTGAATAAAAAAATGGAATTTCCGAATTCCACAGATTCCGATCGTAAAATTTCCCCAACGCACGGGATTCCGATTTCTGATTCGATTAATTTCTGAAAATTTCGATTTTAATTGGGGAAATTGATAAAAATAGATCGAAAATTACACTTATAGTATCAATAGTATTAAGTATTTCCGAATTCCTATCAAAAATTTCCTAATTTGGAACAAGTTTTTTCATTCTAATTTCCGATTCTTCTTTTTCTGGAATGAAATTGGAATTAGTTTTTCACTTCCGAAAATGCTAATTCCAATCAAATTGTCTGATTTCCATCCAATGACTCGAATAATAAACACTCGATTTATGGGCAGTGCAGGTTCAACGTGTTAGGCATGCACGAATTCGACAGCGACAGAAAACGAATGTCCGTAATCCTAGGTTTCCCCGACAACACTGTCAAACTCTACGTAAAAGGCGCCGACACATCAATGTTCAACGTACTCAACAACTCCTCGAACACAAACAACAACATAATAAAACCAACTCAAGCCCATCTCCACTCCTACTCCTCAAAGGGCCTACGCACGCTCGTAATAGCCGCACGCGAACTAACCCTGTCCGAATTCCAACACTGGCAATCCTCGTACGAGTCGGCGAACAATGCCCTAATGGGCCGATCGAATTTACTCCGTAAAATCGCAGTTAATATCGAAAATAATCTCGGCTTGTTAGGTGCGTCCGGGATCGAGGATAAGTTGCAGGAAGGCGTGCCGGAAGCAATCGAGTCTTTGAGAATGGCCGGTATTAAAGTGTGGGTTTTGACCGGTGATAAGCAAGAAACGGCTGTTTCGATCGGATACTCCTCGAAGCTGTTGACCAACGAGATGACTCGGATCGTTATTAATAATAACTCGAAGGATTCGTGTAAGAGGAGTTTGGAAGATGCTTTGGGAGTGTGTAAGAAGGTCAAAAACGGTGTCTCGGGTGCTGTTAATAGTCAGCTTGCGTTGATTATTGACGGATCGAGCCTTGTTTATGTGCTGGATACTGAACTTGAGGAACAGGTATTTTTTTTTTTTTTTTGATTTTTTTTTAAGGTCCAGAAGTTTGGTTAGTTTTTGTTGCATTCGGCACCCCTATATTTTTTCTAATTGCTAAGAAACCCACCGTTGTTATTTCATTGACAAAAACGCCCATGATTCATTTTTTTAGCAAACTACCCTGTAATAACTCACTTGTTTTGGGTGTTGTGTGCTGAAAAAATGGATTATAAGGGGTTTTTTGCCAATAAAAAATCATATAGAGGGCATTTTAACAATTTGATATAGCACAGGGGTATTAAATGCAATAAACCGAATTCTTTTATGTCAAGAACTTGGCTTAGTTTTGTTGCATTCGGCACCACTATATCTTTTCTGGTTGCTAAAAAAATCCTCATGTCATTTTATTGGTAAAACCGCTCCAAGATTCAACTTTTTTAGCATACTACCCCTAAAAACTCGATGTTTAGGGGGTTGTGTGCTAAAAAATGCAGTATAAGGGGTTTTTGGCAATAAAAAATAACATAGGGGAGTAATTTAGCAATTCGATATAATACAGGGGAACTAAATGCAATAAACTCAATTTGTTTATATTTAATCTTTTTTCTTAATTTTTTTTTTAATTTTGGGCAGCTATTCGAATTAGCTAGCAAATGCGACGTGGTGTTGTGTTGTCGTGTGGCTCCGTTGCAAAAAGCTGGAATTGTTGCACTGATTAAGAAAAGAACCGATGACATGACACTTGCAATTGGTGATGGTACGAAATCGAACAAAATTTCTTTTTATATAGTAAAGAAAAAAAAAACTAGGATAAAAATTAAATTAATTATATTTTTATTTTTTTAATTATTTTTTTTAGGAGCGAACGATGTTTCGATGATTCAAAGAGCTGATGTGGGAATCGGAATAAGTGGACAAGAAGGAAGGCAAGCCGTAATGGCGTCGGATTTCGCAATGGGCCAATTCCGATTTTTGGTCCCGTTATTATTGGTACACGGGCACTGGAATTATCAACGTATGAGTTACATGATTTTGTACAACTTCTACCGAAATGCCGTTTTTGTTCTCATTTTATTCTGGTGAGTAATATATTATTTAATTCATTTCGTGTTATATAATGTTTAAGCCAAGATTATCTCGTTTATTTTGCTTAAACACTGGTTAATTATCTCGTTCCGAAGATCGATCGTGGTACGAAATTGAAATAATTCATCTCTCTCATTTTTTTCTTCAACATTATAATGGTTTATTGCATTCGGCACCCCTTTGTTTTTTCTAGTTATTAGAAAACTCCCCATATTATTTTATTTGCAAAAACCCCTACCTAAGATTATTTTTTTTAGCAAACTACTCCCTAAAAACTCACTATTTAGAGGGTCGTGTGTTAAAAATATACATTATAAAGAGTCGTTTGCTAATAAATTAAAATCCGATAGAACACACGAGTACTAACTGCAATAAACTCTACATGAGATTCAAATACTATATCTTTAACATTCAAAGGAGTTATTGCATTCGGCACCCCTATATTTTTTTAATTGTAAAAAAACCCCCATGTTATTTTATTTGCAAAATAAACCCCTATAATTCAATTTTCTTACCAAACTACCCCTAAAAACTCACAATTTAGGAGGTTGCAAAAAAAAACCATTATAAGGGGGTCTCTTTCAAAATAATATAACACGATTTTTTTTTAATTTTTTTTTTGTTAGCAATTCGATATAACACACGAGCAATTCGATTTTAATTTTAAACTCTACATTAAAATGAATATTTGCCTTGTATTTTTTTTTTGCCCGACTAAAAAACATGTTTTCTCTCTCTAGGTACGTACTCTTCACGGGTTTCACATTAACAACCGCAATAACCGACTGGAGCAGTATGTTATACTCGATAATATACACGTCATTGCCCACAATAGTTGTCGGAATTCTCGACAAGGATCTAAGCAGAGCCACTCTTCTAAAGCACCCTCAGCTTTACGGAGCAGGACAAAGAAACGAGAGCTACAACGGCAAATTATTTTGGGTGACGATATTCGACACTTTGTGGCAAAGTATAGCCGTCTTTTTCGTACCGCTCGTTGCTTATTGGGCAAGCAATGTTGACGGTTCGAGTTTAGGAGATCTTTGGACTATTGCGGTCGTGGTTTTGGTCAATTTGCATTTGGCTATGGATTTATTTAGGTGGTATTGGATTACTCATGCCGCTATTTGGGGTTCGATTATTGCGACTTTCGTTTGCGTTATGGTGATTGATGCTTTGCCCTTTCTTCCCGGTTATTGGTAAGAATTTAAATTTCTCTTTTTTTTTTTTTTTTTTGTTATCGATTATTTGGTGAAGATGTTCCGATGAGGGTGAAAATGTCATTTCAGTGGTTTTAAGTTTGGGTTTTTTTGGCTGGAATGAAATCTCGAGAGGGGTGTTGGGTAATTATCCAAACTCGAGGGTATTAGGTGGAATTTGGTAATGCATTTTCTTTTTTTTAATTATCAATTGGTATTCTTTGGTGAAGATATTCGGGTGAGGGTAAAAATGTCATTTCATGATTTGAAGTGTGGGTTCTTTTTCTTTTTTTTTTCTTTTTTGTGTAAAATAAAAATGAAAGGCTAATTTCTAGTCGAAATATTTTTTTGCAGGGCGTTCTTTCACATAGCCGATACGAAATTATTTTGGGTGTGCTTGCTTGGAATCACTATTGGAGCATTAATTCCTCATTTCGTAGTAAAATCTTCGTTCAGTACTACAGACCGAACGATATCCAAATTGCAAGAGAAGCAGAAAAATTCGAAGATTCGAGGGTGTCTCGACAAGTACAAATAGAGATGACCCGATTTCGTGATCCTCTCACACAACTCGTGGTTATATCCCCAATAGAAAC